CTTGAAAACAATAATGCAATTTTTCATTGCATTGTGGGGTTGTAGGCTGGTAGGATAATTGTATTGTCCCTAAACAGATCAATGGGGGAGCTTTTTGAGCTGCGTGTCTCATGTCTTCACTGTTCTTTCATGCGCGATGATGCACATTGGCCTCGCTGCTGCCTATCAGCTATTCCTATTTGTTATTGTGGATTCATATTGAAAATTGATTAAGCTTCGAATGCTTTTATGTGTGGTATGATTGCTAGTTAACCTATTGCAGATCTGGACAAACGGTCCACCTACCACTACTGTCACTATGAATGGTGGATAGAGGCCAGGATAGGCAGTTAGACTGGTAGACTCTTGACCTGTGGTATAGTAAAAGTTCGAGGCGGAAAAGCGTTGTACAAAAGGTAAGTTACCAAAACACCTTGATACAGGGGAAGTGCATGTAAACAGGAAATTGGGCTAGGATGGAAGAAATAATATAGTAAAACCTGCAAAAGAGAGAATGTAAACCAGGGAAAAAACGCACTAGCCTCCCGTACCCAATGAAAAACCACACAACCCTCCCCAAAGCAAAACAAAAAGTTTGACAACCCTCCCCTATTTTGGCCCGTAGTACACTTCACATACAGGGAGTAGTTCCTCGCTTGAACAGTAGTGTGACAATGACACTGCACACCCTGCTGAGTGCATCGCAGTAATGTGGGTTCCTCATCTCCTCTCCTTTATCTTTACTCATCTGAAAACACTGGTTAGGTGAAAGTATCACCAGTCCTGCTGTTCCACAACGAGACGAGGAGAGGATGCCACTTTAGATTGTTGAGATACATCCCAAGTCTCAATAAGGGTCAGACTTTACTACAGGAAAAGGAAGCACCTGTGTAGTGAGACTATTAACGTTACACCCCTAAGAACCAACCCATGTCCCTCCATCTTTCCCTGCATGCAACATCATACTGCCTTCATTGTGTATGAGAGTTATACTTTACTGCAATAAAGAACACATTTTATGCTCTTATTTAGGACGTCCTCCTATTCCACCGTGTGATCGACGGGTCTCTATCTCTCCTCTGATCCCAGCTCCCTCCACCGAGAGTATCATGATCAGCTTTCACTATCGATCCCCAACACACTCATTATGTCTTACATTCCCTGCTGCAACATTAACTAATTATCACTACATTATTTGGTGCGCCCTGTCCATAGCTACTGTACGTTCGGTGCCACAAACATATTGCACCAAGAGGTGTGTACGTCCCCCACTTTCAGTATGTAGCGTTTAGAAATGTAAACATGATCCATCTTTTTTTGACAGATCTGCTCTGTCCCAGGTGGTCTAGCCAGCAGCTGCAGATGGATATCTGTTCCTGTGACTTCTGCTCCTGTACATATCTGCTCGCATGGCTAATTAGTATCACACTGCCACGATAAACAGCATAAAGCATCCTTGTATAAACTATTAAATCGTTATCAACTTTAAACTACATTTCCCAGAAAACCTAAACAGCCCCATGCAGGTGGTCGCCCCTCAGTGTCTGTTGAATGTGTTGCTAATGCATTTGTAGACTAACTGGTAGAAAAAGTACTCAATTGTCATAAGTGAAAGTTACCCAGTAAAATACTACTTGAGTAAAAGTCTAAAAGTGTCTGGTTTTAAATGTACTTAAGTACAGTGGTAGAAAAAATACTCAATTGTCATACTTGAGTAAAAGTACAAAGTAAAAGTAAATGCTATACATCAAATTCCTTATATTAAGCAAACCAGACGGCACGATTTTCGTATTCTTTTTAATTACGGACAGACAGGGGCACACTCCAACACTCAGACATAATTTACAAACACAATATTTGTGTTTCGTGAGTCCGCCAGATCAGAGGCAGTATGGATGACAAAGCGTTATATTGATAGGTGCCATAATTCTGTCCTGCTTGAGCATTCTAAATGTAACGAGTACTTGTAGGTGTCAGGGAAACTGTATGGAGTAAAAAGTACATTATTTTCTTTAGGAATGTAGTGGAGTGAAAGTAAAAGTCGTCAAAAATATAAATGGTAAAGTAAAGTACAGATACCCCAAAAAACTACTTTTTTAAGTACTTAAGTACTTTATACCACTGCTACTGTAATACCTTGTTAGTTATCCCTGATTTCTCTTGAAGCCACTTCAGTATTAGGAGGTCAATATACGCTAGGAGAGGATTAACTATATTTTACGATCTCCCTAATGTTGAACTCACTGTAAAAGTGAGGCGTGATGATAAAAGTGAGTTACAGTATTTGAAAAAATAGCTCTAAATGTGACTCTCATTACTTTTTCACGTGAAGTGGTAATGGGAGTCACATTTTGGGGCCGCAGAAGAAATTGGAGATACAGACTTGAAGCAGTTATGAACTTCACCCTTTACAGAGAGTCCAGTTTGGAACATTGCATACAATAAAGTAAAAAAAATAAAACATGTGTTACTTGCTATATTAAAACTAAAAGGATGATTAATAGCCTATCATTATTTCTTTCTGAGTACAGAGGTTTTCAAGGAGGCTGAACCATTGTTTATTAAGAACTAAAGCCGAATGACATCATCACAAAATGACAAATTATATTGACCATTTACACAACACATGTTCGCTGTTGTCCCTTAATAGTGACAGGCTATAAAACAGTCATACTACTTTACCTGAGCAGGTGGCAAGTGGAACATAAGAGTGGCCAAAATCTGCGAGACCCCGACGAGAAAGTGCATCTTGAAGGAAAAAGTTTTCATTTTTGGCATTCAATTTTTTCAACATATATGCTATTTCACAAAATCTGAGTGGCTGTCGGCATTGACAGTCCTCAGTCAAGGTACAGCGATGCGAGTATTATCGACCACTGTAGAAATGACGCGATTGAGAACAGATTGAGCGCCCCTTGGATGACCAACGCTGACGGTGAAGAGCAGTCAGAGGAGGACCGAGTTTTTGTAAGATACTAAATTGCAGCGCTTGGACATAGCCTAATCTAAAGGTGATTAGTGAAATTCAATTAGGTTACTTTTATCAAAGCGTTCCATTGTCCCCACTTATGGCATGTGCATCTAAATGGTTGTCGTTTACCAAAACGAATTGAGATTTTGGATTAACATTTTAACAGACAATTTGAGTAATGTGTTTTACTTATTATGCTTTTGTCTCCTGTTTATTATTTTTTTACTCTTTCACTCTGAATCCCTTTGCATGACGATTAATGAATACAGCAGATGTGTAATTATGAGTGATAGGATATGATACTTAGTGATTTTTGATGAGGGAACGAACATGACAGTTCATTATTGTGACATGTGCAGGAGAGATATGAGTACCGGCCAGTCCTCCCTCATGCTAAAGCCAGATTGATGACCTTCAGCATCTACAAATTCTCATCATCCATTTATTTTCCTAGATAATGAGTGAATTAGGATAATGAACCGGATATTGTGTTTTTTCAAGTGCTCAAAACACTTCATAAGGAAGGAAAGCATCATCATCCAGATCCAATATATGCAGTATTCTCAGAGCAAATTTTTACCACCCAAGTTAGAGTAGGTTAGAGTGAGTTGGTGCTTCTGACCCCATGGCAGCGGCTAGTCTTTACAGTGGGTGAGGGTGAGTAGATTAGAACCCTCCTCTGCAAGTAGACACAAACACACCTTATCTGTCTGGACGTGTGACAGTGATGGTGCGTTTACATGACTACAGGAATGAAGGAGGAG